AAATAAACAATACCTCAAAAATAAAATATTCTTTTATATATATATATATATATATATATATTGGGTGCTTGAACCAAGATCTTAATGATAGAAGTGAAAATCACTAGGTCAAAGCATGGTTCAAAACATATTCATGACTAAGTCGACTTAAATTTTCTTAAGGGGTTCTAACAGTAACTCCTCTGTTTTATTTGATGTCAATTTTTTTTTATATTTTTACTCAAAAATATGCCAATTTGAATGATATTTTATTTGGTGTCAATTTTTTTTAATATTTTTACTCAAAAATATGCCAATTTGAATGATAAAAGTATGATTATCTAGCAATGCAGTTTTATTATAGTTGTAATCAAGCCGATTCGAGTCAAGTATGTCATGCATTGGACTTGATTTGGTTATTTCCTCATTCAAGTAATACCGACTCATCATTATTGCTCTAAATCTTAAAAATAAAATTAGAAGTTTTTTTTCCGACATTTTATCTCCTTGGGTTATTTCCTCATTCAAGACAAAGGGTGCATTTTCATGTAAATAATAGTTTTATTCACATGACAATACATGTATCAAATATAATGTGTTTCATTCAATATTTTGCATGATATTATGAAAAATTCAATGAAGATTGTGACATATCTTATAGCTTACAAGCAAATTTAAGGAGAGTTAAATTTCAAGAAAATTGGACATAAAATGATTTTTATGAAATCAATAATAAAGATACTTATTAAGTGCTGGAATAGTGTTGGAATATTTACGACGTTAGAGTGATAATTTAATGTCTTAGCATTATACGAAGATTCATCATCACCCACACAGATAAAAGAAAAGTAGTGGGAGAAGTTACTGTAATTTTTTATTTGGAAAACGTAAGTTTAAAGGGAAAAAACTACATGGGCAAGCTCAATCAATGTAAAACACTGTGTGTTTGTAAGTACATATGTTCACTCTTTTCATAAATTAGAGAGGAAGAAAGTAGGAAACATATGATCACAGATGTATAATCACACTTTTGCCATAACAATTATAATCGGGCTACAATAAATATAATTCTTGGCTATAATATTAATATTAGGTCATAAATGTTGTCGTCGGTTGCTACACAGACAATTGTTGGCCATGAAGGTTATAGACATGCTGCAATAATGTTAGTTAGCCGTGAAA